ATTACACTTTAATCTAAATCTTGTACATTATTCCTACCACAATGGCTGGGCAATTTCCCCGTTTCTTTTTTCGGCGTCTCCCTTGGATCCTCTGTATCGGCTATATTGTTTCATATTAAGTTATTGGGTTTACCTTTTAAGGCATTTATATTCAGCATGAAAATGAACAATATATATATTCCCCTTAACATTTTTTCCCCTTAGCAAAAAGAACAAATAATCTAAGGTGCAATTTTACCTAAAGGAAAGAAACAGAGATGATGTAAGGAAATAGCTTATTTGGATGGGTCATTTCCTGAAGATTCTGCTCATTTTTCACTCATCTGCTTTTAGTCAGGCAAATATGTCCTTGAGGTCCCTGTGGAAAAGTGTGCCAGAGAAAGGGCAAGAGGAAAGCGAGGGAGAATGTTTATCACCCAGTAACTGAATTTCAAAATTTGCAAAGCTTAAATAATGCAAAGTGAGATAAATAAAAAAAAAAAAAAGAAATAAGAGGCCTTGGACCCAAACTAATAGGAGGTGCCACAGAACATTATGAATAGTCCGTGTGTGATCACAGCAACTGCAGTTGGCAAGGAAAAGTCTCACACATTATTGAATCCCCTAGCAAGGTGCACTTTTGAATGCAAGTCATTCACATTATTCCTGGATAATTTATTGCCTTTACAGTGTTAATCTTAACTGAGTTAGACAAGAACACGTATTTGTTCTTAGTGGTCTTCAGGCTGATGTGTATGTTTTTGACTTTCAGACTTYCAACTCAAGAGACAAATGTTGATTTATATGACCACTGAATCATTGAGATTTTTTTTCTAGCACTTTTCATGCAAATTTTATATATATGTTGCAAGGGCATGGCCTGTGGCTTGTAGGCATTAAAGATAGAAATAGCAAAGCATAGAGTCTTTTCTTGATTTCTTACATATTTACCTATGGGTTTCAGTAGAGATAGCCTTGGTAATCACCTCCKCAAAGGAAGGTGAAGACTGTCGTGCCAGATTTCTTCATGGAACTTGGGCTGTCCCTTGTTTGCTTTTCCTTTCCCTTTTTTTGGGCATTCACAGGGCCTCCCCTGTCTCCTTTGTGGGCCACTGGGACACTCTTCCCTCYGGTATCTGCCTCCCTCACCCTGCCCTATGTTTCAGACTGGTTTCTCTGGTACATTTTTCCAGGTCCGAGTGGGTGCCCAAGCCTTCCTCCCTTCATCTGTGTGGGCAGGTTTGTGAACACRTCACCCTGGGCTGCCATGTGAATCGGCCTGTCCCGGGGCAGGAAGGGATCCAGCTGCAGTCCTGCTGTTGCAGCCTGACAGGGCCCTGCAGCCTGGCGCAAATCACTAAGAGGGACTTTGGAGGTGGACTGGTTTGTTTATTTGTGTCCCACACTTTTAAAATCAYTTTAAACACAGCTAGAGATTCTATGCTGAAGTTACTTTCTCCCTCCTTATTTATATGTGACACCTACTTTTGATATTAAATTGCAAAATCTTGAGAGAGACAAATTCTTTTTTTGCTTGCTGTTTATACAGTGTCTAGTATGAGTGGGGTTCTTTCATGGGGATTTTGGCTGCTACTGCAATATAATGATTAAATAACAATGAAATGAATCTCTGGGGTCGCCTAATGCATCTGCCTAAAATCTGGATTTTTGCTTAGAATTGTATTCCTTTGTGTCTAAAGCATGGTTTTGCTGTGCTTGCATAATACCATTTTATAACAAGAAAACTGCATGGCAGCTGGCTAGGGGGGTTGATCAGGAAATCAGGAGAAAAAGCAACAAATTAGGAGCAACATAATTAGTTTGTTTTTCCTTAGCAGTAAATGAAAAATGCTGAGGAAATATGCTCAGTAAAGGCTCTCTATATTAGTATTGAGCATGATAATCACGGGGTCTAGTGACAATAAGATTCTGCCTACCTGCCTGTCGGAAGAGGCAGTGCACATTTGGTCTGATAGTCTTATGTTTTATAGCTGGAAAGGAGAAAAAGATGGTTTTCTCTCCAGTTTCATAAAGCGTTGAACTTTCTCTATGGGTGGAAAGCTTAAACACATCTCTSTGTAATGCAGAAGTCTCAGCTTCCTTGGCCTTTGGCCAGCTGGTTAACATTTTGCAGGCTTTACTGCAGCAACAGTAAAGTTGTTTTTTCTAAAGTTGTTTCTACCTGTGCATGAGCAAGTTACTATTTCAGGCAAATTTTCATGCTTGTTGAACATGTAAATTCATTGTTTCTTTCCATGCTAAATGTTAGATAATCTCACGTTTCTGGGCAAATACTTGAAAATACCCCAGCTTCAATAACTTGCTCTTAATGGACAAGGTCCTAGGCCTAATTCTTGCAAGTCTCTCTCACAGTCAGTGCTGTGACAACTAGTCTGGATACCGCAAATACCAGACTTAGGCAGGCCTGTACTTCAGGGGTGCAACCTTGGGGGGTGAGCATGGAGGAAGATGATCATTTTCTAGTGCTTTGATGCCTTTTCTTCAAGGCTTCATCTCTTGATCTGTGTACGTAATGATGATTGAACCCCTAGAAGGAGGGACACAAAGAGGGGTTGCTCTTGAGGGTGATGTCGGGAGGTGCTAGAGCTGCACCCGCCATGGACTCCCTTTACAAAGCAGGGGTTGGGTCACGCAGGCAGAGCAGGAGCCGTGGTTAGCCTCTGGAGGCTGCTTACATTAGTCAGTACGTGTCCCTGAAGACTGCCACCAAGGAGAGACAAAAGGTTGTTGATATAAATTGTAGGCAGYTTCAGGAGGAGTGGCCGCTGTTCTCCCCGAGCAGATGATACGTCCCGGCGAGCAGGTGGCAGGAGGGCTCAGTTACATGTAAACTCCCTTGYGCCTGGAGTGGGCTTAGACTAGTTTAGTGGGTGCTCTCTATTTAGCAGCTGAATGGAGGAAGGCTTTGGACATCACACAGATTCACAGTTAATGGGCTGCACTTGTTTCCAAGATGAATATTGGACAGCTTCAAGCTCTGGACATTTGCCTTTCTCTCTTTCCCTCCCCCCATATCTTTTAACTGCTGTGATTTTCAACACCTTTCCCACCTTTTCTTTTTTTGAGTGTTTCAGTGTCTTCAGTAACACATTTGTGCCAGCTGCAATAGCTTGTAATAATTCTAGATGTTCAGTGTTTTTAGACCTGTTCCATTTATTTCCACAGTTCCTTGGCTCCAGACCTTTGAAGAGGCACTGCTAAAACTCTTTCACACCATTTTGGCATAACAAGTCCAGCTCAGATGGGTTCTGATAGATAGTCACTATTTCTGAAGCACTGAGGCGTTGATCTGTGCTCTCTGTCTTGGTCTCCGAGGACTTTTGTCTTCTAAGGCATTATCAACTTCCATGCAGTTACAGCAGAGCATGTGGTGGAGGATTTCACATGAAGTGTTTAATGTTTTCCTTCTTGTATGATACAAACAGCAAACATTAAAAAGAAAATATTGGGAAACAGACATTCTGCATCCCACTAACAGTTTAACGTTACCTCTAAACTTCTGGAGTTACCTCTAAATACGAAGGCTAAAGGACTGCATTGAAGTCTTAGGAGAGATTCCTGATATTGTCACTGCTTTGGTTAGTAGCTTGTACAGAGTTCTCTCTTCTTCTATCTGCATCTCTGGATTCTTTTTTTACTGTTAAATGTGAATTATCTTTAAATGAGCATAGTCAGTGCACAGGACCTTGGAGTTCTTTTATCACCTTTGACCCTAGTTCTTTCTGTGGTTCTGCACGAGTCACACGTTCTTTCCCTCCAGGTTTCCTCTCAGAGTGACAAGACTCATTGCACCTTTTCTCTCTACCTCATTAGAATCTTGTGATAATTAATTTAGTGGCTCACTAGASAAAGTTGTGGACTGCAGCTCCATCAGTGGCAATTGCAAAGCATCGTCCAGGCACTGTTTCTGGCTAAGCCACTGGGAACCTCAACCACTGGKAGCCGGAAGCTAAGAAAAGTTTATGCACTCTGGTAAAACTTGTTACTCTTCTCTGGACAGTTAAAACTGTCATATTTCTAGAGGAGAGAACATAAAACTGGGGAGAAAGCTTGGAGGTGTGAGTGGAGAGGTAGAAGAAGAAGCGAAGCAGAGTAGAAGAAGATTGTATGTCGYGTCCCTTCCTTCAGAGCTCCATGCTGACCTGAGCTGCTGATCACCAAAGAGGTCAAAGCAACAAGACCAGCAGTAGTATATMGTTGAGGAAGGTTTTGCCCATAGTCCTGTGCCAGGACGCTGTCTGTAACAGGTCACCTAAAAGCTGTTCAAACTTCCCTAAGCTGACAGTGGCTCAGCTGGGCTGGTGTGGCAGAAGCAGCTCTGCCATGCATTGGAGGATGGGAAAGGTTGTAGAGGTAAGTGCAGAGCAGACACCTCACACAACCTGTCATTCCTGTGTCAGCAAAGACAGTTCCTGTGAGCAGCAGTGCACAGCCCCATGAGCAGAGCTGCACCGGGTCATGCTGCACCCTGCATTTCCTTTGGCCTCAGGATACCTCCTGTAATGCAAGGCACTCTGCTGGAAAGCGAGGTGAGTTTGGTGACAGCGCTTGCAAAGAGAGCCTTACTTCTGGAAAAAAAAAAAAAAAGAAAGCACAGCAAGAGTAGCTTTGAATAAATAGTGTGATTTTATAAAATGATTAAGTGACTTTGTTCTCTTTCATTGAAGTGAAACAATGTATTTTCATTCCAGYTTTTTGTCCTTTAACAGGATATTTTTTAATACTCTGAGTTGAGATAAATTGAGTCTGATTCCCCAACACAGATGATAAGAGAATTAAAAAAACCAAAGCCTTCTGCTTAAAAGACTCAGGTGAATTAAACAAGAAACGGAGCTTAAATCAGCTGAATCAAATCATTTTGAAATTACTTCTCAGTTGTAAATCAGAGGATTTCGCTCCTGCTTCTCATGAACATTTATTTGTGTTTCTCAGCTGTAATGAGTACTTTGCTCTCAGTAATACTGTTTTATTTGAGCTTTGCAGATGTGCCTCCCTCCTTGTGAAGCCTGTGCTAATGATCTTCAATTTACTGATGATTAAGCCAAGGTGTAGAAGACTTTGCTGAYTGCTAGAAGGTTAAGCAGAGGGTGAATGGAGACAAATCTTGACTTGTGGCTCTATACCTTGTTTGTTGAGAAGCTACTGAGCTTGTTTCTACAAGGTGCTGACTTTGCCTTGTGGCCTGTCCTGTAAGGTAGGTTTGTGTAATTTTTAAAAAATATGTAATTGTAAATATGGGTATGGTATTAATGCATTCCTGATGTTAACACATTTTTTGATTCCAGACAGCTTCAAGATTTTGAAAACAGCATCTAGAGGGGCAGACTGTATTTCTATTTGCCTTAAAAAGAGCAGCCAGCACGATAYCATACCCTTCTGTTAGGCAGGCCCTGATCTTTGCAGAGGTACCACAGGAGGAGTGGACTGTCCCCACGTCAGTGGCTCTAGAGTGGGCTCTTTTGAGTGTGAATAAAGTAAGTGATCAAATGGTGAAGATCTTCAATAGTAGCAGAGTAGTAGGGTTGCAGAATGAAAGTCTCTTGCTTTTGTTTCATGGAGAAGAAAAAGCTGCCGGAGTCATAAGAAACCAAGGCATGAAATTCTCACAGGGTAGGGTAGTGGTGGGATGTTTTAACAACCATTTGAACAGGGTCAGAGACGAATAAAGGAGCTTGCTGAGTTCACTTGCTGAAGCAGAGTTCATACAGTGCCCATTTGGTTGGCAGAGTGGAAAATGGCAGCAATCCTGCGGGTTAAAGAACAAGCCTTGGGCTGCAGACGCGTGGCTGTATGCCAGTGAAGAATACAGTTAATCAGGAACAGCAGAACAGAAGCAGCTCTGCATTGGTGTCATGCTTAGTGTTCTTCTTTGCTCTAACATTATAGTTGTTTCTGGAAACATCTAAAACTTGCCATGAAAATGTGTCTTTTTTTTTTTTTTTTTTTTCTCTCTATTACTAAAGCCTACTTCTGCAGGGACTGCCCTATCTCTGCATGAAAGCACACTGAGGGAGAGTAATGAGATACTGAGGGAAACTGAGGCTCCATTCATGCATATTGGCAAAGCAGATATTGCAGAAATCTCTCTAAAGCAAGAAGCTGTTTCAGATCAAAGCTATGTAGAGTTTTCTCATTCTTGCTACTGTTACTGCACCTGAGCAACTGCGTTCRGCTCTTACTAAGAGCAGAAAGCATGTTGGCATCACGGGGTCTATGCGGTAATATTGTCCTGCCCTTGTGCCTGCTGTGTCTGCTCCCCCAGGTTGTCTTCACATGATACCTCCTCTATGGATGAGTCATTTATCTGAGATCCTCTTTCTTCAGTGAACCCAAAGATTCAAAACAACCACTGCCAGCAGTCAACAAAACTTCCACAAAGCCACTTGTGGGAGATGATTGTAGCACAGCACCCCTTTCCCCAAGGGCTGTGGTCCTCCTAGCCTGGGGCCCGTGTCTTGGTCAGCTTTACTCAGGGAACCTGTATCCTTTGCTAAGTCAGGGATGCAGAGCTGGAGCTGCTGCTGCTGTAGACCAGCACAGTGGCTTGTGGGGACAGGCTCCTTCTGTATCTCTAGTGACTGGCCTTGGGAGGAGGTTTGCTGTTCTCTTTTGAGAACCACAGTGTTTGCTGGCATGTGAGGGCGGCCTGTCTCGTCTCTGGGAGGCTTTCMTGTGCCTCCTTGTGAGCAGCGTCGCTGCAGGGAACAGGATCCTGCCTTACTGTCTTAAGACTTGTTAGGTCTGACTGGAACAAATCTAACYAGCACTAACCCTGTCCATTCTGGGAAGCTGTAGTCCTGCCATCTCTTTGGCCCTAGAAATAGCCCGAATGTTGTGGGGCAGTCAGAACTTAGGAGCACGTTGGCAAGAACAGTTTGCAGGGAAACATTAAATAAATACTCTGAAACCTGGACTTCCTGGATTATACCTGCTTTTCTAGTGAGAATAATTCTTTTTTTTTTTTTTTTTTTTTTTTTTTGCAAAAGATAGAGTATTTTTATATCCTCTGCTGTGAACTGACCCTGTTTCTGGCTTTGTAGACGCTGTCTGTAAAGGCAAGTGTTTGAAACTTCCTGTGCCTTTAAAGGAAAGAAAAAAAAAGGTAACAGTACCCCAAACTCAATTATCCAAAGCTTCTGAGTTCTAGAGCCACTTAAACGCCACTTAGAATAAAAAGCTGAGATAACAGGGAGACTGCCCAGAGCCTGCAAGCAAGAAGAGGAGAGGGCAGATGAATAACAGGGTGCTGTATATAAAGGTGCATTGTGATCCACCTTAGAGCAGAGGCTAAGCATGTCCTGTTTCTTAAGCCAGTGTTTAGCAGAACATTTCAGGTGCCTCAAATGTCTCGAATAACCAAGACTGTGTTTGGTTGTCATACACAAGACAGGAAGGTGGAGGCAACCAAGAAATGTTTCATCTAGACAAAATACTTGTCTTCCGGAGAGGAGAACTGGTTGACAGGCCTTAGTTCTGCCTGCTGATGTGTGTTTGTGATCTGGCATTACTGTTAGGCTGGAGTATCAGCACCATTCAGGCCAGCTCAGGGCAACCTTAAAAATGCAAGTTTGTATGGGGAGTATGGTGTAATGACCAACCTAGCTAGGTGTAATCACCAACCCAGCCTAGGATTTTGTAGCTGAGCACCTCACTTCACTTTTGTTTTAAAATAAGCCCTCTTTTACAGAATCAGATGTCTTGGTCTTTTTTTCATAATAAGCAACTGTGATAAACAGCCTACCTCTTGTAATTCAAAACACAGATTATATTCTCACTGGACAATTCTGTGGAATTATAGCAAAGTCAGCGAGGGCTTTCATTGCTAACAATGAAGCCAGACAAAGTTTATAGTTGTCTTTAAGAAGAGCATGGTAAGGTCAGTGTTGGGGGCATAGTCGAAAACTCAATAGGATCTGACATATTGTACYGAACTTTTCCAGCATCTGGTAGCCCTAATTGATTGGCACGCGGGACAACAGATTGACTGGGATGCTCTGAGATGCCTCATTGTCAGGCCCTGCCAGCTTTCTGGCCACTGCACTAGAAATGTCCCTTCTTGTTTGTACTTCTTTCATCATGAAAGACCGAGCTGTGTAGAAACAAGCCAGCCAAGTTCAAGCTGTGATCTCTTTTGCTACCAGCAGTTTTATTAATTATGTCGATTTTGGCAAGGGGAAAAAAGRGCCAAATGAATCAAGATTAAAAGTAAGAAAAACATGGGGAGGGACCAGTTCTTTCGTTAGTGTTGAGCCATTCAGCTCCCTGACCTTGGTACTGTGTTAGCACATGTGCTTTTGTTGCCATGTGAAATGGCAACAAAATGGGGGGCTTCCTGCTACTCCTAATCCCCCACGCCCTCTTTCAGGCCTACCCCAGTTCCTCTGGGGTAGGAAACCCCAGTTTCTCCAGCAGTGATCTTTTCTGATTGATCTTGGCTGTCTTTGAGATGTTCTGACCAAATACAACCCTGAGGAAGCCAATAACATGGAATGGTTACCATTGTTTCATATAAGCAATATTGTTAGCAATAAGGGAGACTTTAACATCAGCATTTTCAGAATAGATTTTTTCAAAGTGCTGAAAGAATCTTGAAAGGATTACCAACTCTATTCATAATGTCTGAAACTCACTTTTTGGGCAGTTTCTGTTTTACAGAAGAAAATCACTAGCCAAACCAATTCATTGATGAAATATCAGATTCAAATTTATCTGAGTTTCAAGTTAGATTTTTTGCTAGGCTTTTGGGAAAGGGCTATGAGACTTAGAATCAATTACAATAATAGGTCTTTTTCCATCCTTGGAATAAAAAGCACTTTAAAAAGCTGTCATCTCCAATTATAAATGAAGAAGTAGAGACATTAGGAAACTTGTGAAAGGGTGACAAAACAAGTCACCAGGAAGAGATGGAAGTACAGTCTTCACTCATTAGCTTACCTCATAGTTCAAAGTGAAATCCTATGTCCTCTGCAGTTGTGGACAGTTGACTTCTGTGAAGCCAAAATATAATCCATAGCATTATTCTGTCTTTGTTCAAATTATCCAAACCTCTTGATCCAGATGAGCAGTCTGGACTCTTGAAATGTCCCAGAGCGTTTGGTCTTTTCACTGCCCTTGGACATACTTCCTTCAGGGAAAAGGCCTAGATCGGACACWGTGGTTAACTCAGCTTCTGGGTGGTGTGGCCTATAAGCTGTATCTGCTCCATAGTCTAAACTGGAGCTGTTTTGCTTAACTGCAGCATTATGCCTAGCGTGTGAAAAAGCTTGTTAAGTAAACTTAAGTATATGTATTTTTAAAGATTTTAGCTGCTAGTTTTGTCCTTTTTTTTTTCTTTTTTTTTCTTATAAAAAGAGGTGGTAATGAAATTAAGGGAAGTTTCTATTGCTATAGTCTGTAGATCGATGAGGTATTGCAATGAGTGGGAATTCCAAGGATTCACAAACTCACAAGCATGACTGAGGTTGCAAGAAGTTGCTGCTAGCTGGAGCTCCAAAGATCAGAGCAGCCAGTGTTTCTTGTACTATGCTCGCTCATTTATTCCTTGAGGATTATAATTTAAAGTATCAAAAGAATTGGAGATCTGGAAGCATCTGACTTCCCATTTGTTTATTCAGTGCAGAAATATGTTTGCATTAGGCACCTAGCCAAAAGCCACTTCTTCCATTAAAGAGGAATGGGTCACAGCAGGACATTTAGAAATGGCTTTCTTCAGTAGTAGGCTGTGAACATTCATCATTTCCAGTTGTTTTTTAAATGAATAAGCTTTTTACTTTCTCATGCATTACTTAAGAGAAATAAAATGCATTCTGGAGTCTTAAATGTGTTTGAAAGTCACAGTCATGAAAAGATATGTTTCCATTAAAATGTTAAGTACTTCAGGTATTAAGTATTAATTAGTATTAGACAGAATGATAGTGCCAAGTGACCACAGAAACTAAACAAGCTTTCTCCATTAAAGAGAAATGAGAAAGCAAGTTAGTAAAATAAGACAAAAATAGTATTTCATACTTCAGTACTTCAAAGGGAGGAATGACTTGTCCAGATCATGCAGAGCTGAAGGCACCGGCCTTGTTTTGTGTGGTAACTTGCCATTCATTGGGTGCTTGTGAACTCCGTGCAACTAGTTGTGTGGTGACGTGTCCAAAACCTCATGGAGATGTGCAGTAAGTTTCTTATCAAGTCCTTCTCTGAAGA